TAGTGTCCCTTTAACACAAACAAATGGGCTTATCCTATACAAAGGTATACTGTGGTCTTAAAGTGAAACTGTCACTTTTCTGCATGTGACATATCTTCATTCTCTCAGCCTCAGTAAATGCTATTTAAGAATTTACTGAGATAAATAATGCAGTTGATGTTAGTAAAAAGCACACTTACCTCTGCTGGACTTCTCTTTCCAGGCCAACTTTGCCACCTCGAAAAAATAGGAATGTGAGACACACCCAAAACATGCTTTTTTTTTTTAAGCAGTGGTGCTGCCGTAAATACCAAATCTATACAAAATACAGTTTTAAATTTTACAAGGTTACTTGAAATCACCTATCTTAGCAACTTTGCCACCTCACAATACTTTGTGGTTTTGTAGTATGAATGCAGTATGAATGTGTTCTTGGGTATCAAATTCCAAACTGCATTAATATCTATAATTTAAAACACTGATAATTAAAAATAAAATATTAACAGGAGATGCTGGGTGGTGTGATTATCATTGAGATGGGCTGTGCTGAGGCTAAAAGGAAACATTTTGTATATTTGTTAGTACTCATGAGGTAATGTTGTGTGTGTGAGGGATAAGGGCATCGATAACTACCCAAGTGTAAATTGTGTTAATGGTGCAGAGTATGACACTGTACAGATGTATCACACTCAAAGATTACGTTAGCTGAGGAACGTCAGGCATATTGAGCAATATAGATCAGTAAAAACACGAGGTATAGCCATCCATATAAAGATCTAGCATGTCAGATATAGCTAGCAGGGCTGAATTAGACAGGATGTTCATCATGGCCAACAGTGTGTAGATGGAAATGCCTGCCACAGTCGACAGTGTGAGGCATCATATAGAGTATAGACACAGAACAAAATCACTATAGTCAACAAGGTACAGAAAGAGCGTGTCAGGGATAGTAATAGTACAGACAAAGTAAACATTAGTTAAACCAAGCAGTGCAGAGATATACTATCATGCCAAGTAAAGAAAATTCAGAATACAGTTTAAAGAAAATGAAAGAGCTTCATTGGACAGTTTATACAGAAAGTTGGTCACAGTGAACAGTACAGAGAGAATCTGTTGGATTTGCTATTGACAGTAAACAATTGTGGAGGTGGTGTCAAGGCAAAAAGGAAATATAGTTTTAGTGTCTATAAGCCATTTATCTGCAATGAGATGATTTTCATAAATATATATCACCTGTCAGTCAATTATTTGCATACAAGACTGTGCTGTCAACTTAGCTAGCATACTGAAGATATAGAATGTGAGACCAGGATAACATTCCCATTGGTGTTTTTTTCTTACAGCAACTACAATGCAAGAACTATAGTTGCTGTGATTTTTACTCTGTATAGATCTGCGTGATGTGATATAAGAGATACTATACATTTGCTGAGGGAAAAAATAGCCACACACACAAATACCCGTGCATACATATACACACTGAAACATGCACACACATCTGCACTGATCTACAAAAACACACAAATGCACACATTGACAGATACAACTACACAATCACAGTGTGTTTGCATGTGTGGCATTGTGTATCTATGTATGTGAGATTGTGTGTCTGGCAGTATCCTTGTGCATCTTTGAGTGTATGTCTGTGTCTATTTGTATCTGTGACTGACTGGAATGCACATTTGTGTATGTGACCATGGGAATCTCAGTGTCTGGGAGCAAATGTAGGTGTGGGAGCTGTTGTGTGTGGGTATGGGGGGTTGTTTGTGGTCTTGATGTGTTTATGTTTTTGGTGGTGTTGTGTGTGTGAGTAAGAGGCAACTGTGTGTATATAACTGTGTGTATATATGAGAGTTATATTCTGTGTAGGAGTACCTGTGTGTGACAGGGTGATTTTTTATCAAGTACATTTTATTTTTAAAAGTAAATATGGTGTCTGCACATGCTACCACTGTCCTCAAATGACCTACATGACATCTCAATCCCTGCTGCCCTTAATGCCCTTTAATGTAGCCATAGGCATGGGCGTCCACAGGAATATTTCCAGGGGGGGCATAATTGTAATGACATCCATGCTTGGTCCCTTTTTGACAGTGTCAGGGAAGGGGCATAGTCATTATCACATAAAACTCACAATCCCTGCTGCCCTTAATGCCCTTTAATGTAGCCATAGGCATGGGCGTCCATAGGAATATTTCCAGGGGGGGAATAATTGTAATGACATCCATGCTTGGTCCCTTTTTGACAGTGTCAGGGAAGGGGCATAGTCATTATCACATAAAGCCAGTGTGAATAGCGTTTTCACAACTATGGTGTCAGGAATACATGTTTGTATTCCTGACACTATAGAGTTCTTTTAGCAAATTAAAGGAACATTCTGGTCACCATAACAACTTCATCTAAATGAAAATGCTACGATGCCAGGAAGCCCCTGGGTGCTCTCTTTACTTTAATGGGTTAAACTGCTCTCAAATGGCTTAACCCCAAAGGCTTCCTCCAGCTCCAGATCTCCAGGCCGCTCAGTCGTATTCGGCTTCTGAAACGGAGTTTCAGGAAGTGCAGATTGACGTCAGGCATGGGTGCTGCAGATTGGCTAGAGTGGTCGCTCTAAGCCAATTGCTAGTTCCCGGTTCATAAAAATGTTTTGCTTTTTTATGAATGGGGAGCTATTGATTGGCTTAGAGTGCCAGCTGACCGCTCTAGCCAATCAGTGACACCCCTACCCAGTGGCACTCTGTGATTCCTGACACTCAGTAAATAAAAGTGAACACATTAACACTGATATTTTTTTTTTTACCTGGGGAGATGAGAAGGTCCAAAGTTTCCCTGCCTGGCCCAGGTACCAAAGCCTTATGATGTGGTGTCCAGAATAAAGAGGAGGGTTCACTTCACTTGTCCTTCCTGCTCCAATCTCCTTTTCTTCTCCTTCATTTGACACAGTCTTATTTTTCTTCTGACACTGTCTTGTCTCCTCCTTGGCTCTTTCTGCTCCTTTACCTTTCTGCTTCTTTCTGCTTATTGTGTGCCCCATTTTGCTCCTTTCTCTTTCTGATCCCTTTCTGCTCCTTGCAGACCCTTTGTGCTCATTGCTATTCTTTTCTGCTCCTTCTCCTACTTTACCTTTGTGCTCCTTCTGATTCTTTCTGCTCCTTTACCTTTGTGCTCCTTCTGTCCCTTTCTTCTCTTTGCAGACCCTTCCTTCTCATTGATGTCCCTTCCTGCTCCTTGCAGATCCTTCCTGCTAATTTCTGCTCCTTCTCCTACTTAAGTTTGTGCTCCTTCTGCCCCTTCCAGCTCACTTCTGTTCCTTCTCCCTCTTTACCTTTGTGCTCCTTCTGTCCCTTCCTGCTCCTTGCTGCCCTTTCCAGCTCCTTGCTGACTCTTTCTGCCCCTTCCTGCTCCTTGCTGACCCTCCCTTCTCTTTGCTGACCCTTCCTGCTCCTTGCTGCTCATTTCTGTTCCTTTGTCCTCCTTCTCATACTTTACCCTTTGTGCTGCCCTTTCCAGCTCTTTGCTGACCCTTTCTGCCCCTTCCTGCTTCTTGCTGACCCTTCCTTCTCCTTGCTGACCCTTCCTTCTCCTTGCTGACCCTTCCTGCTCCTTGCAGACCCTTCCTGCTAATTTCTGCTCCTTCTCCTACTTTACTTTTGTGCTCCTTCTGCCCCTTCCAGCTCACTTCTGTTCCTTCTCCTACTTTACCTTTGTGCTCCTCCTGTCCCTTCCTGCATCTTGCTGCCCTTTCCAGCTCCTTGCTGACTCTTTCTGCCCCTTCCTGCTCCTTGCTGACCCTCCCTTCTCTTTGCTGACCCTTCCTGCTCCTTGCTGCTCATTTCTGTTCCTTTGTCCTCCTTCTCATACTTTACCTTTTGTGCTGCCCTTTCCAGCTCTTTGCTGACCCTTTCTGCCCCTTCCTGCTCCATGCTGCCCTTTCCAGCTCCTTGCTGACCATTTCTGCCCCTTCCTGCTTCTTGCTGACCCTTTCTTCTCCTTGCTGACCCTTCCTGCTCCTTGCTGCTCCTTATTGTCCCTTCCTGCTCATTTCTTTTCCTTCTCCTTTCTGCTCCTTCTCTTACTTTACCTTCCTGCTCCTTGCTGACCCTTCCTGTAGGCTGCCTCCCCCCATCCCTCACTTACCTGATCTATAGGCTGTTTCCCTCCATCCCTCACTTACCTGATCTGTAGGTGGATCCCCCCATGCCTCACTTCCCTGATCTATAGGCTCTCTCTACCCCCCCCCGCCTCACTGCCCTGTTTTATAGGCTCTCTATGCCCCCCCCATGCCTCACTTACCTGATCTGTAGGCTGTCTCTGACTGCATGTGCTGTTCCTCTGCGAATTCAGTCAGGAGAGAGAAGCTGGGATAGGATGTATCTTCCTATCCCAGTCTTTCACTATACACAGCCGGCACCAGTATTGCACTGTATTTTCAATCTCACACGAAAAATAGCAGAACAAGCTGAAAAATCCATGGGGGGTGGGGGGGGGCAAGAACTGACTGAATGGTCTGCAGGAGCAGTCAGAGTCAGAGCTGTTAGTGAGGTCAGACAGGGAGCTGGGAAACATTACGTGCAGGAGGGATCACTCTCACAGGCAGCTGTGCTGCTTCATGATAGAAAGCAGCAACCTCATTCTTGTATTGCCGGTATTTACAATATACCGTAAACGGCTGGTCAGCCCCAATTACTGTAAGTGCCGGTAAAATACCAGCTAGGTGGCAACTCTAGTGTGATGCATGGATCTTTTTGAATCAGTGCCAGAACTAATGCAAAGTGGGCCCTGGTGCAAGAGCTTTTTTTGGGTCCCTTCTACCACAATGGTGGCCGAAAGGTAGATCCCCTTATCTTAAACTCCCATGATGCTGTGCCAGCTGGGGATTTACCATTCGCCCATTCTCGCTGGGTTTTATTTGTGAGCAATTTGAAGATTTGAGTATGTGTGTGCATGTAGGGGTGTATTTGTACTTTGAGATATATACACATAATACAATAATATTATTAATTATAATATATTATACATATACAGGAAATAAAACTGTGTGTGTGTGTGTATGTGTGTGTGTGTGTGTGTATATATATATATATACACACACACACACATACACACACGTATTTTAAGTGTGTGTGTGTATATATATATATATATATATATTTTTTTTTATTATTATTATTTTTTTATTTTTTTTATAAAAAGCACATAAAGACGCTAACTTTGGCCAAGACGCTAGCGTTTGTGACCAAGTGGCTACAACAGAAGAGTGGACATACCCCATTTGAATACCCTGAGTTGTCTACATTTGAAAATGGTATGCCATGATGGGGTTATTTTACATTCCTGGGCTACCATATGGTCTCAAAAGGCAACACAGACCCAGCAAACCAATCTGGCAAACTGAATTGGGCAAGCCTTGTAACTTTCCAAATCACCATAAAACCTGTACATGGGGGGTATATTTATACCTGGGAGACGTCACTGAACACAAATATGAGTGTTTGAAACATTAAAACATATCACGACGATGAAATCACCAGTAAAAGTGCAATTTTTGTGTAACAAAATGCAAAAAACAAATAAAAATGCTAACTTTGGCCAGCATTTGTGACTAAGTGGCTACTACAAAAGACTGGACATACCCCATTTTGAATACCGTGGGTTGTCTACGTTTACAAATGGTATGCCATGATGTGGTTAATTTTAATTCCTGGGCTGCTATGTGGTCTCAAAGGCAACATAGGCCCAGCAAACCAATCTTGCAAATTTCAATGTGCAAACATGGAAAAGGGGAAAGCCTTACATTTGACTCCTGTAAGTTTGCAAAAACCCATAAAACAGTAAATAGGGAGCACTGTTGTACTCGGAAGATATTTCTGAACACATATTGGGGTGTTCTTTGTCAGTAACACATAACAGGAACTGAGAATATATGCTTAAAGTACAACGTGAGAGAAAAATAACAAAAAAATGACTACCCAAAAGTTTGACAAAGACTGGTGGTAGAATTAGTGCATGGAAAGTGTTAAAATATCACCATTTAAAATATAATAGGGTGTCTACTTTTCGAAAATATATGGTTTGATTGGGGTAAATTACATTGGCCGGCTTCCAAAAATGTCCCAAATAGGACATGGGTGCATGATGACCAGCTGTGAAAATTCCAAGCTGGAAAACTGGAATGCGCACTCTCCAAATAAGATCTTTCAACCCCCAGAGAACCCGACACATCTATACATGGGGGGTATCACTGTACTCAGGAGATATTGCTTAACACTTATTGGGACTTTCTTTGGCAGTAATCCTTAAAGTTCTCCGTACATGTATTTTTAAATTGCCATGTGTGTCAAAAAAATCACCAATAATTTGTTTTTTTTTAATTTGGCATAGATTGGTGGTAAAATGGTTGCATGAAAAGAGTCAAAATAACCTAAGATATTAAACTTGGGGTATCTTCTTTTAAAAAATATATACATGTGAAGGGTTATTCAGGGATTTCTGACAGATATCAGTGTTACAATGTAACTTGTGTTCATTTTGAAAAAAAAAATTGTTTGTAAATAACAAAGTGCTACTTGTTCCTTTTGCCCTATAACTTTCCACAAAAGCTAAGAACATGTTACATTGGGTATTTCTAAACTCAGTACAAAATGTAGAAACAGGTATTTTTTTAGCAGTTGTAGATGTGTAACAGATTTTGGGGGTCAAAAAAGTGTTTTTTTAATTTTTTTTCATCATGTTTTATCATTTTTTGATGGTATATTTAGAAAGACCATTTAAAGGGACACTATAGTCACCTGAACAACTTTAGCTTAATGAAGCAGTTTTGGTGTATAGAACATGCCCCTGCAGCCTTACTGCTCAATCCTCTGCCATTTAGGACTCAAATCCCTTTGTTTATGAACCCTAGTCACACCTCCCTGCATGTGACTTGCACAGCCTTCCATAAACACTTCCTGTAAAGAGAGCCCTATTTAGGCTTTCTTTATTGCAAGTTCTGTTTAATTAACATTCTATTATCCCCTGCTATGTTAATAGCCTGCTAGACCCTGCAAGAGCCTCCTGTATGTGATTAAAGTTCAATTTAGAGATTGAGATACAATTATTTAAGGTAAATAACATCTGTTTGAAAGTGAAACCAGTTTTTTTTTTCCATGCAGGCTCTGTCAATCATAACCAGGGGAGGTGTGGCTAGGGCTGCATAAACAGAAACAAAGTGATTTAACTCCTAAATGACAGTGAATTGAGCAGTGAAATTGCAGGGGAATGATCTATACACTAAAACTGCTTTATTTAGGTAAAGTAATGTAGGTGACTATAGTGTTCCTTTAAAACGGTATATCATATGACGTGGGTACAGTAAATGAGTAAGAGGAAAATTACAGTTAAACACAAGAGAAGCAGGATGAGTGGTCCAAGCATTATATATATAAAATATATGAAAATGTGTTTGTTTTTTACTTATAAAACATGAACATTCATACGTTGAAGTCAAGAGTTCGTTTATTCAATTTAAATCCTTTTTTTATCTGGCACAACCTATTTTTAATGGCAGATTTCCATTAAAAGTTCATGTTTTTTTTTCCCCTCTTTTTTCAGTGGTTATCCGACAGTAAACATACAACTTTAATTTCAAAAGGTGTCTGCTAGACCCATTCCCTTGGTAATCCCTTACCCACACAATATTGGTTTTCATTTCATGTTGAATGTCAGTTTTAAACCTTTAAGTACAGAGCCAAAATTACTTTTTTTTTAATATTACATCCTTTTTTCATCATTAGTAATAAATTGTTTTGAATAGGTCAGCTAGTGCATATTACATGTACAGCCAAGTACAGAAACGATGTATGACTAATGTCTAAAAGCAGGAAAATTAAAATCTGACATAAACCATCCAGAAATAAACATGTGCTTCGTAAAACATTTGCTTGAATGTTATCACTAAGCTGAAAGAGCTTTAAAAAAAAAAAAAAACAACAAATCAACATCTGGTGAGGTTAAACAGCATTAAATCATAATTTAAAGGTGACCAGCTATATAAATCCTTCTTAATTTTGTTATGTTTTGAAATATAAAAGCTTTCAGTTAACTTGATTAGTTTGAAGTGGACTATTATTTTAGAAGGAGAATCACTGAGCGTTTTATGTTTAATTGTAGTGGACAGAATAGTGCCTTATAAAGCTACATACCTGTTTTTTTGAGATAGCACTAAAGGACAACTGTAACTAGTTAATGAAACAAACCTTTCAGTTTTGAAAATAAATCGATAAATCAATGATAAACAAATGAAGTATAAATAAAAAAAAAGAGAAAAATGCATCCGTGCCTTTAGTTTCTCATTCCTTGGATGGCTGCTATGGTAGAATGGAGGCGTGGGCCAGTAAGCTGTACTCTCTCTTCAAGATCTTCCAGCACTGCTCCCAGAGATGGAGCAGTGCTGGAAGAGCATGAAGATTACACAAGCCCCAAGCCCCACGCCTTATCTGATGATCCTCCAGAGCGGGGCGTGGCTCACACAGTCAGAGCAGGGGAAGGGATTTGACGATCTCCCTATAGTGTGGGATTGATGCGTGTATCAGTGTCCTCTGTGTGTAAATGTGTGTGTGTGTGTCAGTGTCCTTTGTGTGTAAATGTATTTGTGCTAGTTTCTTCTGTGTGTAAATGTGTGTGTCAGTGTCCTCTGGTTGTGTGTGTGTGTCAGTGTCCTCTGTGTGTAAATATATGTGTGTGTGTTAGTGTCCTGTGTGTGTGTAAATGATTGAGCATGTCAGTGTCTTTATGTGTGTATCAATGTCCTCTAGGAGTTAATGAGTGCGTTGGGTGTGTTCCCTCGGTGTGTATGTATATGTGTGTCACTGTCCTCTGTGTGTAAATGTGCCTGTATGTGTATCAGTGTCCTCTACGGGTTAATGTTTGCGTTGTGTGAGTTCCCTCTGTGTGTATGTATATGTGTCTGTCAGTGTCCTCTGTGTTTAACTGTTGTGTGTATTATATTTTCATTCTGTGACTTATATACAACAGATTAATAGTTCATACACTACTTACATACACAAAATTCACATTATGGTGTATTTTAAAAACTATGCTTTACTACATTTAATCAAGCTTGTTCTCCAATATGGGATGAACTTAAATATCAGTGTCTACACATTTCATTTGGAATTTAAATCCATACAATTACTTTCTCAAGTCGGTGCTTCTTAAGAATTTGTTTTATACCTGCAGGGGTACTTCTCCATAAAATGTTGAGTAACACTGTAAAGGGAGGTATGCATTTAAAAAAAATATATATATGCATGCTTTATTGAAAAATAAAAGTACTTCCTTTAAAAACCTGATTAACAAGGTTAACAAGGTTAATATATTAAAAATAGTTTTGAGGTGCCAATTGTCCTAAAGGGAATATATAGTCACCTAGACAACTTTAGCTTAATGAAGCAGCTTTGGTTTATAGATCATACCCCTGCAATCTTACTGCTCAATTATCTGCGATTTAACCCCTTAACGCCGTTACAGCATTCTATGCCGTCCCGCATTAACCCCTTAAGGACGGAGCCAAATGTACACATTGTGAACAAAACAAAATGTAAACAAAACCTGGCATTTGCGCTACATGTCTGTCCAACCGTAATACACCTCTTTCATAGTAAATGCACCCACCCACCCACCCTTAATATATATATCTTGGATTTTAGTTCTACATGACATTTTAACGGTCAATGTCATAATACTGTTTGCTTTTACTGCAATAAAATACACATATTTATATTCAGTAAAGTCTCACGTGTAAGACAGTACCCCCTATGTACAGGTTTTATGGCGTTTTGGGAAGTTACAGGGTCAAATATAGCACGTTACATTTGAAATTGAAATTTGCCAGATTGGTTACGTTGCCTTTGAGACTGTATAGTAGCCCAGGAATGAAATTTACACCCATAATGGCATACCATTTGCAATAGTAGACAACCCAAGGTATTGCAAATGTGGTATGTCCAGTCTTTTTTAGTAGCCATTTGGTCACAAACACTGGCCAAAGTTAGCGTTAGTATTTGTTTGTGTGTGAAAAATGCAAAAAACGCCAATTTTGGCCAGTGTTTGTGGCTAAGTGGCTACTAAAAAAGACTGGACA